GCTTAGACGACTCAGCATTCTGGCTTTAGGAATGAGTTTAGCATCGCATACTCAGGAACTGTCGTCTAACTTTTGATTTTACTTAAATGTAATTCTGTGACTTAAACAGGGTAACAGCTTAAATTTCTTTTTCTTAGCGGGGCCTTTTGGTTTTGACTTCAAACGTTTTTAGTAACTTCAAACTTTTTGGGCATGGTATGTAAACAATATTCAAATGTGTCCTCTGAAGGGATTTTAAAAACTAAATGGTGGGTGGGGAAGGCGTTCAAAAAATCCTGTGTCAGAACAGTGTTTTTAACTACGAAGCAGGTTCCATCTCACAGGAAAGAAAAGATCTGAAGCATAAAGCACGCATGCCTATCAATTCTTTCTGAAAGCTAATGCAGTGTCTAATCGCTTCCCGCTGCTGAGCTCGCCGGGATGATGATCTCTGGGCATCGATGCCTGTGTTGGACACGGTGGTTTGACCTCACCCAAATTTAGGGATGGCAGCTAAACTTTTCCTGCGTAGTACTCAATTTTGAGTTTTGCTGCAGGGCTGTTCTCTCGCTGAGTAGTCTTGCACGGTATACTTGACAGTTCTTACTGTTTCCTGATGTGTCACACTTAAACTGAGACTTCTTTAATCTGGGCTTTTTTTTCTCTCTCTTGCTCAGGCAGATCTCTATCTGCTGCTGTGGGTTTTACGGCCTAGGACTGGGTTAGTGCAAAAGGAAACGAATGAGTCACCCGCAGAACTTGTCAGCAGGCTGGGAGGGAGCTCCGCGGCGGGGGTGGATAGGGTGGAACAGTAAAATTTTTGACCTCACCCCTCTCTAGGCACGTGTCATTCGGAGCAAGCTTCCTTCAGAGAGCGTTCAAGAATTTTTTCCAAGAATGTTAGTTCCAGAGTTTCTTTTCTCTGTATACTAGGAGAGTATCTTTTAAAAAAGATGGTTGCTTCGGTTCTTGCTAACATGTGATTCCACCGTTTTAAGGCTAACTTTGGAGGTCTTGGTGAATTCTTTCACTTGAAAAGCACCTTGTGCTCCAGATGAAATGGGACATTTTGATAGTGTATGGATAGAATGTGGGTCACATAGCGGGGCAATGCAGGAAGGGGAAGTGAAATGTGGTGTATGCAGAGTGTCAGGAGAAGCCTGGCTGGGCTGCAGTGTCGTATCAGGGATGGCATTTTTTATGGGATCAAGTTGTGTACCGTCAGTGCGCTGATTTCATGTGTGTAAGCGCAAAGCACAAGAAAGAGGTTTTATAGAAGAGGAAAAAGAGGAAAATTCAGCAGTTCATGACCTAACTTCATTAACATCAAATGTGGATTCCCACTTACAGGAACAAAATTAGTTGAGATGGTTTGAAAATACTGGTCTTCAAAACACTGAAGTATTCTTTTAATACTGACTGACAAATTAGCGGGCTTTGCTGTGCATCCTGTGCACTGGGTTATTTTGAAAGGTGATCCAAGTGACCTTTCCAAAGGTATCTGTGTTTTGCAATCTCTGGAAGCTGCAGCTGTTGCAAGCTGTTTCGCTGTCTCAGTGTCGCTAAGACAGCGCTTCTACCGGTGTGTTTTGAAGGAGATGGTGGAACTAGGAATTCCTTACAGTGTTGCTACTTGTTTTTCGTTAGACCCGTCTCCCTGAACTTGTATAGGCTCAATACAGAAGAGCAAGCAACTTGCCCTGTTGAAGTATCTAATTTAGGAGTCAATGCAGTGGTAGACGAGGCAGCCACTGGAGATGAATATTGCGGGTGTGTTGGATTTTTACTTAAGGCAATCTCAAGTGAAGCTTCTATCAAGTCTGGAATTCGTTTAACTGTTCTCTCTTAATTAGTTAATCACCCCGATTTATTTATGCTGGTTAATACGACTGCCCCTTGCTTACGTTTTAAGCATATTCTTGCACGTTCATAGTATTTTGAAAGATAGTCTTCTCAAATTGCCCTCATCAGGCTTTATCAAGCTCTCTGTGTGTATGGCTGTGTGAGCGTGAGAGGCGGAGAGCTCACAGTGCAGTTAGTTATAACTTAAATTAGTCCTGTCCGTAGGTGCAGAGACTGTCACAGCTCACTAAACTTGGTTGGCATCTTGATTGATGATTATTCCCCGATAATTAAGTTAAACAACATCAGGAACTGACTCCCAAGCATATCTAGTTCTTTTCAGATGCATGAGTGGCTGTTGCTTGGCTTGTTTGTGCTGCTGTCTCTGCTTTTTCTCTTCCTCTGGTTCCTGATGGAGCTATTGCACCTCATTCGTAGCGTTGACGTGTTGGATGCTTCTGCTCCCTTTCTGAGGCCAGCCACATAAAACATGATGTAATATCTTGGTTTCTCTCCATGTGCTATCTCACTTTCTAAGTATAAAAAGTGGAAGGTTAATTGGCTGAAGAATTATTTCATGTTTTATATTGTGCATAGACCTGGTTACTATTTATCATCGTCAGTTTGATAGCGCTCAGTTCTCTTGGGATTTTGAAGTGCAAATTTGCTTGCTAACGCAGGGAGGAAGAAATTTTAAAGTATTTACTTGGGGAGATCAGAAGTTGTAGATGATAGGGTTTTTCCTGGTTTTCATTAATTAGAAGCCTGGTTTTTCTTTTTAAACTTTAGCGTAACAGTTAGCAGTTGAAAGTCATGGGAGGAAGGGATATAGGTGTCAGTAACCAAACTGTTTTATAAATAGGGTTATGTGCTACATAAACTTCTTATCCTTCTGGAAATAATTTTTCAGACTTAAATACAGTGCTTTACATTTTTAATCACTCCTTAGCTATTAGCTAATTAAATGCTTCAGTAATATTCCTGTGGGGAAGGTAAGATGGTGTCATTCCTGTTCTGCAGACGAGTTGAGCGACTGAAAGTGGCTTGGCCAAGGTCAGACCACGAGCAGCTGCAGATCTGAGAGTAGGACTTGAGTTGGTGACTCCCCCTGCGATACTTAATTTACTGGAACATGTCATCTCCATGTGTCCCTTCTTAATGACTTGGTAAATAGTTTTTACAAAAGACTTTTAATGAGTTGAAATTCCCTCTTTGATTTGCTTGAGGGAGGAGCAGTGTAACCATGACCTGATTTGATACAACTCACAGTGCAAATAGCACTGGATGAGGCTCTTCCAACCAAATTATTGGTGCTGAAAAGAAAAATGTTTAAAGGATTTGTTTAAATATGACACAATAGCTCTTCCCCTCGCGACAGTGTACTTTGTAATGCTGTAAGCCTCTGGTACTCAGGATCCAAGTTTTGATCTCCTATGCCAAGATCTGTTGATCACTGTTTTTATTTAAATGGCCTTGTTAGGTCCTAAAAAGTCAGTTTTGAAACTGTTCCTGTAATGTATGTCTGCAGGTCACTCTCCAGGACATGTCGGGTGACTGGAGCGTTTGTTCAAATGCAGGGAAAAACAGGACAGTATTTGCCTGAAAAAAGACTTTCTTGCATCAGGTTTTACACGTGTTGGACACGTGGATGCTGTGACTTCGGTCATTCTGCTCCTGGTACATCATAGCTATAGCAGACTGTAATACCTTTTAACAAAGCCTTTGCTTTGAGATTCGGTAGTATATATGAGAGAGTTGTGACAAATGTGCAAGCATTGACAAGTGTAAGGACTTGTGTGATGTGTTTAGGTGGAACTCTTCCATCTGGGCTGAGACTTAATCCTGTAGTTATTACACTGATAAAATATTCCAGGATTCATTTTTGAAATTTGTATTTCAGTCACTCAGAGCAAGAACTGCATTAAGGTCGGGGGAGGTTATTGAAAACACCTTTGTTCTTGCTTCTGGCAACCTAATTAATGTATTTTTTTGGCATTGAAAGCTGTTCTTTAAGGAAATAATTGCCGTTCTTTGGGTGATTTTTTTGACTTCATGTCAGTGAAAAAGGTAATTTTGTAGTGCTTAATTTGACTACTTTAAAGTGAGGTTCTCATTAAAATGTTGAGTGCACCAGAAGTTTGGGGTGTGAACTTCCATGCATGTGTGTTTTTCCTTAATTGTATTAACTTGAGTGTGCCACGTTGACCTTTCCGCTTGAGTTGCAGGTTTGTGACTTCTGGCTGCTAGTTTGGATTTTATTCAACTGATCTAAAACTTTTTCCTTAAAAAAGAAGTGTCAGTAGTAATTCTTTGGCTTCATGCTTTTTAAATGCAGTGAAAAGCCATGTTGCTTGTTTAGTATTTCAGCCTTAAATGAGTTGAGCTAGTTTAGGTTAGCTCCATTTTCATCCTCCTAAACTTCATGGTAGAATTACATTTTCCATCTTTTATTGTTGTTGCTAAAACATCTGTATTTTGAATCCTGTGTATTAGGACTGGAAGCCTAATACATAAGCCGCTGTCTTGATGCCCTAGTCTGTGAACACAGATAAGACTGAGAGTAACTAAAAGTTATTTCTGCTAAATGACCATTTGGTTGCTTTTGAAATAACTGATTTCTGGAGGATATCTCCCTACTACTGTTGGGAGTTTGGCGATACAACAATATTGGTGGAATTTATCTGCTAGCAAAAGCTCAAATATGAGGCAGTTATACCTATTTCTGCTTGTACTGCTTATTTTGTTCAGAAAATTAAGCCATACCAACAATATTTTTTACATATTTGGGCTTAAGCCAAACAGGTATGACTGTACCAACAGACACTTTCAAGCGTGTACTTGGCTTTGTGCTATTTTCCCCTCTTTTAGGGCACCTGGTTGGGAGGGAGAGGCCGCAGAGAGCACAGAAAGGTTTCCTTGTTCTCGGTTCCGGTGCCTGGCTGCCAGGAACGGCAGTTACAAGAAGTCCTGTGTCTCTGGGCAAGAGCGTACTCGGTGCCGAAAGAATATCCGGGATTACAACTATCGGGGCTCCAGTAAAGATTGATTTTTTTGTTTGTTTGTTTTTTTAAACGTAGTCTTACCTAATCTAATTTGAGTTGCTCTGGGAGGGTCAATATTTGGTGTTTCTGGAAGTAGAAGCAACAATTCCTCTTACGTGATATTTTTCTTCTCTTTAGGTGTTCTGTTGGAATATACGTCGCACATTTATGGCGATTCTGAGTGTGAGGGCAGACTTCTGCCAGGCCCAGCACAGCATCCTGGCTGACAAGTGAGCTGAGTGCAGGGGGTTCTACGTGCCATAATTACTTTGCCTTGAAGACTCCAGACACAGCGAACACACTCAAATATATGGGATATCTTCTGCACATTGGAAGCATATTCCTTTTACTGACTCTAGCAAAGCTAAGCATCAAGAAAACAAAGTGGAGAGAAAATCTGCCCTTACTTTTTTGCCTCACCAGTGCCTAAATGTAGAACAGGCTGCCTAGTCTTGCATGTAGTCAGAATTTTTGGAGTCTGAAGGATACCACCTGCAGTAATTGAGGCCGAAGTTGAATTCAAGTGGATTCTGAAGCAAACCTGCTTTTCTAGAAGCGAATTCTTTAAGGAACAAACACGTCAAAGCAAGCTCTGATCAATCCCAGGCATTTTAGTGGTCTTTTTAATGTTTTCTGCTGTGAAACGTTTCCAAGGTTATTGATTTTTTTTTATTTTATTTTTTTTGGCCCCTTACACATTTTGTTTGCCATTATGAACCGTCCAGCCCCCGTGGAAATTACTTACGAGAATATGCGTTTCCTGATCACTCACAACCCAACCAATGCAACCCTCAGCAAGTTCATAGAGGTAAGGCAGTCAAAAAAAGTATCATCCTTCTTTCCTTATATGCTCATAGTTTCTGTAGAGGCACTGAACAGTCATTCTTCACACCTGTTGCTCAATGCTTTGGCTATATATTACATGTTACTTGAAACTTAAGGCATTTTTATCTTTAATATATTGTTCACATTCTCTTGACAGTATGAGAGAGAATCCACCGATTACTTTTTCCAAAGTCCTGCATGTCTTTAATTGTGAGAGGCTGAATGGTCTTCCATTTTAGAATACAAACACACACCCTTGCCATCGTTCTTGTCCTGGTTTCTGAAGGACTGCATGTTCTGCGATTCTAAACATTATTTTTCATTAAATAATGCAGTGCTTCTAATATAGCGGTCTATTGCTCATCTTCTGGCTTTTAAAGAAGTAGTTAACAGAATTGTAACTGGTTTCTGACCTTTCTTCTCCCTTAGAGTAGGATTAAGTGCAATACTTAAACTGATGTTTTAGTTTACAGGATGTGTTCTCAAACTGCCCTACCAATCCCAGAATTGTCAGAGATTTTTGGGTGCCAGAATTTATCCATGAAAAATGACATGTGCCTGGGTCTAACTGTGGGAAGAGTCAATTTACGATAGGTCAGACCATTACTGACACCGTAAGATCTTAAATACTGCAAAATGTAGTAGTCAGTTTTCTGAAAAAGTAACAGATGGTATCATCAGGGAGGCAGTAGTACAGTGTATTTCTGCATTCTAGTTTGCTCCAAACCTGCTATATCTTTGTGCCCTTATATCTTATATCTAGAGGACTTTTATCTTGCATATGCAGGTCTTTTTCATTCCAAAGAGATCCTGTCATCTGATACTGATGTCTGACTGTGGCTATTAACAGACTTCCATCATTTAGCAGTGTGCTCTTCACCATGAATCTGTTCAGATATTAGTGGTTAATTTTGTCTGAAAGCCACATTCTTTTGGTCTTTATATATATTTATTTTTTCCCATTATTGTGGATTGTCTTCCTTTTTCAGGAGTCTTGACTCTGGAATATGTATTACTGCTAATTGTTAGAAGTTACGGTGATTCAGTCCAAACATGAGAGGAAATTCTGCTTGCTGTATGAACCTTCAAAGTGAACTGGAACAGCTTTTGTTTGATCTTCTGATTATTTATCTAGCACAATGTGCTACTTATAGTGCATTACAAGGAAGCTAGAGTATGGTGGTGTGTGTGTTCTGTTCCTCCCTGCCTCAAAATGTCAACACTGGCTGAAGCAAACAGTTCCAGGCTTCTATTTAAAGAGAAGAAGCTGCTGCATGGAGAATATAAGCAGCTATTTTAATTTTGCTTGTATACATGCAATTTTTTTCTGCCTTGGCATTTACCTAGAGAAGAATAATTCGGAGGGGTTTCACATTTATTCCTGTCGCTTGTAACCCTTGTCCTAACGTAGGCCATAAACCCCCCTTTCTGAGTTGGCCCTTGCTCCTTCATTGTGTAGTCACCTTGGAGCTGTGCAGTAGTCGCGGTACTGCTGACTCTGTGTAAAATGTTTTGTTTTGTAGCTGAAGAGAAAGTGCTTTAATTCTCTACTCTGTCAGTGTGCTCACATGTTTTCCTTTTTCTTAAAGGAGCTGAAGAAGTACGGAGTGACAACCTTGGTGCGAGTTTGTGATGCCACTTATGATCAAGCTCCTATCGAAAAAGAAGGAATCCAGGTTCTAGTGAGTTGCCTTTAAAACTGTCTAAAAATGAAAAATCACTTGTCCAGAAGTGGTGGGGATGGCCTTCGTGCTTTGGGCAAGAGCTTACGATTGTTTCAGACTGGCCAAAAGCAGTGCGATCCCCTGCATCAGCTAAAGCTGGTTTTGAGAAACTCACTGTACTTTTGTGAAAGGTACTTGCTGATTCATTACTATTGCCTGAGCGCTTAGAAATGTCTGTTCCTTGATTTCTGGATTTGCTGAGGTATTTTGGTTGTCTTTTAGCGACTGGGTCGATACGAATCCAATGTTCAGCCTTGTGGTTCATACAGCTGGGTTTGGTCCTTTTCTCTAGATACAGCACTTCTTGGCTTTACTGTTGACCTTCTCAGGATGCAGATAAAACTCCCTTCTCTCGCTCTTTCAAAAAGTGCCACCTTTTGAGACTATAGCTGACACGTTGATAGAGGCTTCCGTGGACTGGCTGGGGGAGGATATCGATCGATAGCCTCATCACTGGAGCCTGGCTGCTGGTGGCTGCCCTCTTCAGCAGGTGGAATTGCTTAACTGCTACTCAGAGTTAACATTACGCAATGACTGTCTGACTGTATCGTCTAGTATTGCTTGGTGTTTTAGGGGAGGTTTTTTTAATAGGTGTGTGCTCATACGAGGCTTGCAGGCGGTATTTTTCCAGGCAATACTTCTGAATTATTATAGTGTGTCAGATATAATCAATTTAATTTACTGGAGTGAGTAATAGCCTGTTGTGAGGCCAGAAATTGCATCTTACCTTCTTGTTGCAGGTAGTCAGTCTTCTATTGCCTCTTGATTTTTTTTTTATGGCTCAGTTCAAGGAAAACTTCTGCAGTTTTTCATTAGGAGAAAAACTTGTATCCTGGCATATCTGTGAAAACTCCACCTACAGGTCAGTCAGGTTTCTTGGCTCCCGGCCCTAGTAAGCATTTACTCCAGTTCCAGGCAGCCATGTGTGCCTCAGTGTTGTTGGAAAAATCAGGCACTACAGGGCTACCGGTGCTCCTAGGGCTGTGCTCTGGAATAGCATTTTTGTTCACTCTAGAGCTGTCTTGGACTTGAGCATGACAGTATTTTCGGGCACACTGCTGTGAAACCTCTAGCTGCGATACCCCTGAGGTTGCCAGAGGCTGGAAGGATTAAACTTCTGGTGTGGAAGCCCTCAGAGTCCCAGATTTAAGCTGGGGCTTAGAGTATTTCTGTGTTCCTGTGCCAGAGCACAGCTCTGAGTTCTTCCTGGAAGACTTAGGACAGTTTTGCAGGTGTCCAGCTCTGCCAGGGTGGCTGCCCTGTGAGGCCAGCTGACCTTGGCTCCTGCAGCTGTGAGTGAAATCCACCTTCTCTGATCCATGGCCGGGGCCTCCAGGGCAGCTGCAGGAGCTGGGGAGTGCTCTGTGCTCTGGAGCCGGCGCTTCTGAAATAGTTCGGGGATTTTGGTTCTCAAGAAACTTTAAAAACTTGGTGTTGGCTAGTGCTGGTGGAAGCAGTTTTTTGAGGAAGCTTTTCTAAAAACTGGAAATGCTGTTTCCGCCAGCTCTGCTAAGCACTGTTCTGTTGGAGAGCCTTTCGCTTTGAGTAACACATGCGAGAGTCTTGCGTCTGTACGCATTTGCCTCAGCTAACAAGCCTCTCCGCATTTGGTATGTACCAGTTCTTCTTAGTATTCCAGTGCTGCAGAAGGCGAAACAGGAGAGCGCATAAATCCACCAGGCATCTGTTAAGGGTAACAGAAAGCAGGAGGTGACAGGGAAGGTTTGCTGCTAATGTCATCACCGATACTGATGATCCCAGTCACAAGGTTGTCTTAGTAGTTTACTGTATTGCAATAGTGTTTTGCTATTTGAGATAAGCTTAACTAGTAGTCACTGACACGATCACCTCCTGTATAGCTTTCTCCTTCCTATGAATGCATGCTTTTTCAAAGCAGAGTCCTGTTGCTGTTCAGAAATTGTATTAAATTACCATCTGGCTGAGAAAATAACACGTCACTATTTAAAGCTAATATTTGCTTGCAAAAATAACATTAAGATTAAAAACACAGCCTGAGAGAGATTAGTGTCTATTTTAAAACTGTTGAGGTCAAAAGCGTGGTGAAACCCCTGAAAATGAAAGCATTTTAGCAAAGCCTGCTCTCATGCCGTGATACAGGATCATGTACTGGCAAGATGGGTAGAATGTGGCAGCTAGAGAGTTGCTTTGGCAGATGGCATAGTGAGAAAGTAGAGAATTAGAACTTCGATGTTTGAAGTAGTACTATTGCATGTGCGTGTTTATCAACAGAGATTAAATCCAGGAGACAGGAGGCGGGGTTGGATTTAGTTTCCGTGGGCTTCTGCAGTTCTTCGTTATGTTCATGTGTAAGGTCTTGTAACATAGAAGTGCTACATTGGAAAAACTGGTAGTTTTTTTTCTGGAAGTATTTTTGCACTGGCTGGCAACCAAGGAGGCTGCGATAGTTTTGTTCATCTTCAGGATCTAAGACACATTTCATTGTTCTGCTTCTGTCGGTCCTTCATTTACTGTTCATCCCTGGATCAGACTTTACACTCTGTGCCCTCCAGAATGGCCACCACCTGAATGCTGGCAGGCAGTCGGAAGTGCCCCTGTTAAGAGATGCGACTTCATTGCCATCTGATATTTACTGCATCGCCAGGGGCTCTGGTACTGAAGGTGGGAAAGCTCCACGCTGGTGGCTGCGGTCCCGTCCTACGCAGATGCAGTTCTGGGAGTGTTTTGCTGCTGTAACTTCAGTGCGAGTTGCACACGGGTTTTGAAGAAAGGGGTCTTTGTCCCTTTAAAGTCCTGTTACTGCTTCTTGGTCATCTCAGTTCTGCGTTGCCAATCCTGCAGTCGTTGCTGACTGACAAACCCAGAGCTGTTCTGCTGAGTAAGGCTGTTCCAGATAAAGGGTAAATAAGAATAACCCTTTCTTGCCTACCATCCTTCCCAGCTACTGCAGGGTGGCACAAAAGAGCTGTATTTTCTGTTTGTGCAATCTCAGTGCATCATCCTGGTTATTAATGACTGTTTTGGTTGTGGGATGTGGGGCTTAGCAATTTGTTTTCTATCCTGTCGGACAGGAATTCGGAGGTGATGCTGGCAGAACTCATAATGAGGAAAATAACTGCAAAACTTTGCTTCAGTTACTCCTCTAGTCCCCGAATTATTCTCGTTCCTCGTTCTGGGCAGTGTCCCATGCAGCAGTGTTTTATCAGTGCTGATTTAATGTCAGTGGTGTACCATTCCTGGGAAGGTGGTGATCTGTGGGGAAATGACGATTGTCGTTAATTCAGGCCAGCACAAGAATTGTGTGGACATGGGTGGTTAACATGTAAGCTAAAGCAATGTAGTAACCTCCTGTATTTGGTCTGAAGGAAAGGATTTAATTTAATCCAAAACTAGGACACAGAACTGACATGTAAATCCTGTTCTTTGCAAGGCGGTTTCAAATGAAAGCGTCTTGCAATGGGTAATGCCTCTTCTCTTGGCAGCCCATACATCTCTTCCTGGGACACTGGATGACACTACGCCTAAAATAATATAGCTAGCAGTGTGTGACTGAGTGGAAAATCTCGTAAAAGCCCTTTATTAGAAAGAACAAGTTTTGCTTTAGGATCTTGTTTCTATAGTCTTTTATTTTGCTGTGTTGTCCCAGATATTTTTAATTTCCCATTTGCTTTAAAAAAGTTCTCTGCACTCGTCAGACTCTGTGTGTCTTTCTGAATTAATCACATAGTTATATATAACTTTATAGTTATTTCAGTAACTTAAAAGCCTTTTGGTTTTGTAGTTCCGAGACGCAGATTTCCACCTTGCAGCTTTTTTTAAGTGCTAACACATTTCTAAGGTGCTCTTGGGCTGAGGTCTGTGCTAAGCTGTACCTGCTATTCAGGAAGTATTAGGGTAGCAATAAGTGCATTGCAAAATGAAAAGTCTGGCGGATTTTTACCTTTGGTTGTACTTGTTCAGAGTTTCTGCGTGCTTCTTTCAGGCTTCAGAGAATATTACTTCATGTTAACTTGTTCTCAAGATACTACATGGAAAGGCTTGTTTCTAGCCAATGAGGGAAGAAGAGGCCTTCTTTCAAAGCAATTTCCCTACCATTTGGAGAGGTGGTTGAATAATATGAAACTCTGGCTATGAGTCTCTCTTGTACAATGCATTGCAGTTGTCTAATGAAAAGTGTTAAATAACTACTGTTATTTTTTTCCTTGCATCTAGGAGTGCTCTTTCTACAGCGCTCCCTGTGTCTGAGAAGGTTATAAAGCACGTGATGTTGTGCTTGGTCTTGAAATATAGGACATGTAGTACTCCACTTAGCACAAGTTCCAGGAGAGAGCTGTGACCTCGAGAAAATGGGAAGCTTCTCACATGTAATTTTGATTTACAGCCATGTTGATGATATTAAATGTGGCCTAGGTGGTGTAAATGTTGGCTACCCATTTAATAGGCAGAAATGTAATTGTAAATGCTGATTCATTGTTGACTTTGCCTTTGTCTAAGCACTCTTCTTTTTTGCTTGTGAATGTGTTTTTTTGACTTGAAAATACCCAGGTAATTTTAACTGTCTTGCTTATTGGATGCATGGCAGCTGGACAAGCTGATCCATTTGAGTTGTTATGAAGTACCTTCTCCTCTGCTGATCCCCTTGAATTTTATGAAGTACCTTCTCGTCTGTACAGAGTCCGCAGTACAAATAGTATTTTAAAAGGTTGACACAACCACAGGCGGAAGTCTACAGAGTTCTCATCTTTCAAATGTTTATTTGAAATGTCTATTGATTTTTACATATTTTCAATAAAATGAAATTTCAAGGGCAGCTATTTTTCTAAAAATTCTATATTACAAAGGAGTTAGTGTAGAGTTTTATTGAAATTTTATTGGAAAGTGCAATTAAATGGTGGTTAAACACTTCGTGTTGCATTATGATATTGACTTGCAAACTTCTGTGCAACTAGAAAAATACCCACAGCACTGTGGGTGTGTTTGTGTAATACCCACTTCTTGCTGAATGGAATATTTTCCTTCTCCCAGTTATGGTTACCTTGCTGTTGATTATGGATTGAAATCCATATAGCTAATGTCCTTTTTTTTTTTTCCTTCAAAGGACTGGCCATTTGATGATGGAGCACCACCCCCGAATCAGATAGTTGACGACTGGCTAAACCTGTTGAAAACCAAATTTCGTGAAGAGCCTGGATGCTGTGTCGCTGTTCACTGTGTTGCAGGGTTGGGAAGGTTAGTATTCCACTGTCTTGTTTTTATACTGGGCTTAAAGTTAGTTTATTTGTTCGGGAGGTAGGTCATGGAAGGTGTTAAGTAAATGTCAATTTCTCTGTTTTCTCCCAAATAACACTTTAAAGGAGAAGCATCAAGTTTGTGTCATTAAAGCAAGAGAGACTTATTGCAGCTTAAAAATCTTCAGTAATCTCATAATTCTGATCCAGAATGAGAGGAGGAACTTGGGGAGATTGTTCAGAACACTTCTGTCAATCATGAACGACACGAGCAGTTAGAGATGCTGTTATTCTGAAAGCATGTGTCATTCTGCTAAAACAATAAAATCTCTTGTGCTTCTTGACAAATGCAATATACATGTGTAGTACAATTTCTAAGGCTGTACAGTTTGGTTTTTTTTTCATTTCCTCCTGTTTTCAACTGGTATACTATTAAGCATGTGGTAATTAAAAAAAAAAAATTTAGAAAAACTGGTTCAATTACTTAGTCTAAAGTGGCTTCACTTTGGTGGTAAGAAGTTAGGCTTGTATTTCTTGCTCACATGCAGACTGATGTTTCTCTCCTCACCACTCAAAATATAACTTCCTTCTTTGGGAAGAACTTCCTTTCAAGATGAAATAAAAAAAGACTGATTCAGGAAAGCTAAATGCTATGTTCATATTCCCAAATGTGATCTCTGAATGTTATGTTTATCCTGTGGGCTAGGAGGAAATGGAACTGAAGTGTTAGTATTCTTACAGTAACCATGGGACTGTTAATATTGAAGGATATGAATGAGTGGGCAAGGAAGGTGGATTAAAGAAGTCAAGTAAGCACAGAGTTGGAGTGCATCAAGTTCTTAAATTTCCACCTCTAGAGAAGAAGAGATGGGGGAAATGAAGAGGTAGAGGGAGAAACGGCCAGTATTTAAAGACACAAGAGCCAAAAACCCAAGGCAATTAACATTTGTTTACCCATTTCTGCTCTATTTTTATCTGAGGAACATCTTTAGGAAAGTGGCCACGTGTAACTTGAGACTCGAGTCGCAACTCGAGACAGCTTTTTTTTTTAAGTGGCTGTTGAGGTTTCAAATTGTTTCCTTTGGAAAGTGAATAATTCTGTTTATGCAGGTGCAGCATGGCAGTGATAGTGAGAGTTGTTTCTCCTGAACTATGTTTTTGTTTAGCCATGAGTAGAAGTTGTCCAATTGCTAGCACCTGTTTAATCCTTCACTACTCTACAGTCAGAGGTGCCTGTTGCAGTTGTGCGTGTTTAGTGGGGTGAACATCAATCCGGGGGGAAGTCAGTGTGTACTGTGATTTCGGCCTGTTTGAAAAGCCAGCTCTTTACACTTAACCCATTTTCCAAACTGTGGACCCCAAAGTAGAAAGTTTTACTCTATTGTCCCCGGAACGCTCAGTTCCGTGTACAGCACATAATTTAAAAAAAAAAAATACAATCTATACAAGTCATCTGTTCAGTGCTTCATAGATCTATCTCACGTACAGCTAAACCTACAGTGTCATAAGAAGCAAAATGCATGCAAGAGGTATTAGACACTTGTTTTAGTGAAGTGGAAAATTAGGTTATAGTGAAATGAGAAGGTGTAAAAATCTAGAATTATTGTTTCATGCCCCAAACACTAAGGAGCTATTGATTTTTATTTTTTTGTGTGTGCGCGTTGGAAACAGCTGTCTACTAAAAGAAATTTTACATTAGGTACTCAGCAGGCAAATGTCTTTCTGTAGATAATGCTTAAAGAGAAAATACTTAAGCTATTTGTTTATGGATTAATTTGATGTATTTTGAGAGGTTCAGTATATTGTTTCTCCAGATCTTCCTTAAATATTGATTTCTCCTTTAGGGCTCCTGTACTGGTTGCACTTGCTCTCATTGAATGTGGAATGAAGTACGAAGATGCAGTTCAGTTTATAAGGCAGTAAGTTAAACTTCCCCATTCTCAAGAAATATCTCAGTTTATGTTGTAGTTGAACAGCATGCGTCTTCAGCAAAGTCTCTTAGATTTCTGATTTGTTTTCTAGTAGCTATATCCTGACAATAATGGGCATGACTTTGACATTAATGCTGAGGCTTATGCCCTTTCCTCTGTTTAGAGATGAGGATTAAAAGGTGATCTCTACCTTTTTTTTTTTTTTTTTTTTTTTTAAATGGGTTTTTTTTTTTTTTTTAAAATCTGGGCTTATATATTAAGCCATTGACCTAAGACTCAAAGATTTTGAACTTGGGCAGAAAAAATGTCTGGGCTGGGACTGTAAAAATCGTGGATGAATTGGACATGGACTAATTGCTCCTAATTAAAAAAAAAACAACACAACAAACAAGTGAGGTTGGGCTCCCAAGCAGAATTTCTACAGCAAGTAGGTGAGCACCAGCACTCCTACAAGTGTTGCGGGTGAGTGTGTTATCCACCCAGGAGATGTCAGAAACCACCTGTCTGGAAAATAACAAAACTGGTAAAGGGTGAGAGTGCAGAGCTCTGTTGGTTTAGTGATAACATCAGATCTTGAAATGAAGCCCAGCAGGTAAGATCATGTTGAATGAGCTTTGCCAAAAAAGCAATTCATCCTTTTATGGATTCCCAGGGTCTTTAGTTATCTTTGTAAACTGTATTGCTGTCAACAGATTTTTCTGAATTTTTCCTTTCTTAAATTCCTCTTTTCTCTTCCTGGGTACGGTACCTTTTATACCGAGAAGCTCTTTTCTGAGAACCTCTTAAATATTTGTATCTGAATGTCATGGTCTTTATTTACTAGCTAATATAATAAGTAGCACATGCATCTGCAAGGAAAGGGTGACCTTGATGTTGTTCAGTGACTACTGCTGGCGATAGAAATAAACTCTCTCCATCCAAGAAAATATGCTGGAATTTGCTAACTGGATTTTGATTTTAGTATTGGCATGTAGGTGATGAACTGCGTGTGCTGGCCTAGTTTATCCTTCCTCAGAGTGTCAGTGGATACAGAACCAAGCCAAAATGCTGTTTTGTAGATACAGAAAAGCTTTGAAATGAGGACTGATCTGCTTTAGAATGTATATGGTGATTGAAGCAGTACTTTTTTCCATTGATATTAGCCTTCATTCTCTTTGTTTTAGGAAAAGGAGGGGAGCTTTCAATTCCAAACAGCTGCTTTACCTTGAGAAATACCGACCTAAGATGCGATTACGCTTCAAAGATGCCAACGGTCACTGCTGTGTTCAATAAAAAAAAAAAAATCTCAAACGAAGGCAGAAGTTAGCATGGCTGTTTTCTGGACTCTTGGCACCTGGAAATGTGAATCTGGAATCAAACTACGTCATCAAATTAGTGGTGGAGTCAGTGCTCCTCAACCTCTGTCCTAATGGTGGTGATGATTGAAAAAAATAAAAATAAAAAAAAAATTGAGAGAAACATTTCAGTGAAGGATTGTTTTCTCCTTAAGCTGCAGTTTGAACATCTGCAAGGAGAAAATCAGTTTCTGAACCTTCTGTATTTTTAACTTTTTAAGAAAAGAAATAAAGTAAATTTTATGTCTAAGGAAAACCAGCAGAGCATTGGCTTGTGCAGAAACTATTTTCTTGATTTGAGGAAAGTACCCCACAGTTAGGGCCTGATACATTAATTCCTATGGGACTCTCTTAAATGGAGTTGCCTTCTTTTTTTTTTTTAACCTTGCTGGGACCTGGCAGGGAGACATGAGGAGGAGCCTTTGTTGCTGTATGGGAGCAGTCTGACAGCCTTAAGCCCACCCTGGGCATATTCTAGAGATTTGGTGATGTCTGTGTTGTATGTCTACATGGTGTTCAGACTCTGCAGGTGTGAAAAAAAACTTCCTGGTGGGCTTTAACAGAAGACTCACTGCCTAATATCTGTGGTGAATCTGCTAAAGGCCTTTTCTGGTTGGTGGGAGACAGTGCTTTTAACTGTGTGAGAGCGTGTGTGTGTGTATGCACGTGTGTGTATGTCAGTCTTATTTTTTCCAAAGAATTTGGCTGAAATGTTAATTGTCTTTCTGTTGCTAGATAGAAAATCTATCCTGGCAGAAGACTGATGTTCAAAAGTGTCCTAGGTGAGCAAGGGGCAATTCAGACAAGGACTTAAAATTAATTTATCTGTCACAAGGCTTTTTGCTGCTGTCCAGATCCTCTGCCTTGCTGAACGCAGTAAATCGGGATTTGGGGGGAGGGTCTCATTTGTATCGTATATGAGGTAAAGATGGTACGCACACAGAAATGCGGTCCATGAATAAATGCCTAGTATGGGTATTTTCACAGACTAGCCCTCATGTACAGTTCAGTTTAACCACTGATTGCCTTGTTATTTTTTTATTGGGCTCTTTTGGAGGGAGAATCTCTAGTTACACACCAACATGCCTATCATGTATTCACCATTGGCAGACTGTAAATACGCTGATTTTTGGAGTGTGGACTGGCACCACGTTCTCCTTGTAGGGCTGTTGGTGGTGTCAGCGTATTAATCAAGACAAGTCATTTTACAGCCTCTAATAAGCAGTTTCAGCCAGGCTACTTCTACCAAACAAGTTAACTGAGTCCCCTGCCCCACTAGTGACCTCATTTGCTTTCAACTTGACATTATGTCTGTAATATTCAGCCACTGAAGGCTTTGAATACAGGTTTAGGGTCATGCTCTCCTGTGATCTTTTGCTGTGGCGCACCAAAGGCTTTTGTTGGTCTGTGCCTGTAGTAGGTGCAGACCGGTACCCATCTTTTACCGATACCTCAGCTGCTGGCGGTGTGAACTGCCTTCACAGGATTTCTTCCTGTTCTAGACTTCTGGTTTTAGCCTGCAGCTAAACTGCGCAAACGTTTTTCAGAACGCAAGTAATGGACCGTTAGAATTGTATTCCTGGAAGGGATTTATAAATTTAAGGAAAAAATAATGGTACTTGTCAAGCCCCTCACTTTACAGACACGCTAAGAGACCTGTTTGAGGTCCACGGCTAGAAAACACTGCACTCCATGAAACTCGGTCTGTACCCTGACTCAAGCTGTATTGTTGTACTGAGTTCCTTCCTCCCTTTAAGATGTGTAACGTTTCTGATTTCTTTAATAGATAAGAGACGCGAAAGTGTTTGTGAAGTCAATGCCTACATTAGGGAAATAACATACCTGGTAATGTTTGAGTCCACGTGGAAGGTAGATGATGCTGAAAGTACTTAATTCTGGCCTTTACCTTCCCCTCACAAACTAGAAGCCTAATGTTCTAACTGTTTCTGCAAATTAAAATTGATGTTTTTAGTAAAATGAAATACTGGTAGTTAAAGCCGATTTGACGACTGATGGAGGTCAGGTTGGAGGGGAAGGTGTTGAGCTGGATTAAAAACCAAACCCCAAGCCCTTCTGAAGAACAATAAAAAAAATTTTACATGCTATATGTATAACTTTGCATTCTTCCCCCTAGTTTTACTCTGATTTATAATGTACTAATTATCATATACTATGACTCTGCAGCCTTAATTGAGGAAAAATAGTGGAAAGTGCAGACTGTCATACAGCGTAGACACAAATGGGGGGAGTGTAATTGTGAGCGATGTCCAGTAGGCACAATACTGGTTCAGCACTTGAACGTAGTGCAATAAAGTTCTTGCAGTAAAATGGCTTCCCTCTGGCTCTTGATGAATTTATTGCAGCTCGTTAATGTTAAGTGCTCTTCTTTAATCTGATTTGTAAAGGCCTTCGGACAGGTTTGTCCGTGCCCCTTGTATTACTAATCACCGTTGGGTACTGCATGGCTTGGATTTGCTGGTGACTTGTAACTGTTGGGAAAGGCTGTTCTGCCTTTGAGAAGAGGGAGCAGCGCTGCAGACAGGAACCGTTTCCTTATTTTCAAATTACCTGTTTAAAAATGTGTAAAACACCTTAAAAAAAAAACCCCCAAACCACACAGAACAAGCCTCCAAACCAAACAGCTCTGAACTTTCCCAAGAACTGTCAGAGATCTGTTGCAAAACTTTCTCTTGTGCCCTGGACAAGACTAGACACCGTGCCACCTGGCAGAGCTTGAATGGGGTTATTGTTTGGGGGTGACAATGAGAGAGTTTCTGGAGTCCTGGATCCCAGTCAGTTCCCCTTCCTTGGTAGCGGAATGCCGCTGTGTTGATTTGTGTAACTTATTTAAATAATACCAAGGTGCTCTTTTCTGGGCTTCACAGATGATAATCCAATCGGCTTTGCTTTGCTGCCATCAAAGAAATATGTTACTTGCAAATCGGTATCGTGTTTCTAATATTTATCAGATTTTTCCCACTAGTGTACTAGAACAAATTTTTAGTCCCTGTTGGCAATGAGATAATAAACCACTTTGACTGTGAGACTGGCAGCAGTAACTGTGCAGTTCCATCTCCTCTTTCTGATGATAATCCAATCGGCTTTGCTTTGCTGCCATCAAAGAAATATGTTACTTGCAAATCGGTATCGTGTTTCTAATATTTATCAGATTTTTCCCACTAGTGTACTAGAACAAATTTTTAGTCCCTGTTGGCAATGAGATAATAAACCACTTTGACTGTGAGACTGGCAGCAGTAACTGTGCAGTTCCATCTCCTCTTTCTCTGAGGATGTCTTTGTATATCTTTTTTTTAACACTAAACTCTTGCTTTGTTTGTTTTTCAAGTTTCTACTTATCAGATTTTTCCCACTAGTGTACTAGAACAAATTTTTAGTCCCTGTTGGCAATGAGATAATAAACCACTTTGACTGTGAGACTGGCAGCAGTAACTGTGAAGTTCCATCTCCTCTTTCTCTGAGGATGTCTTTGTATATCTTTTTTTTTAACACTAAACTCTTGCTTTGTTTGTTTTTCAAAGTTTCTACCTTTTTGGTTACCGTGCACAGAAGTGAAATGTCTTGCTAATCAAAGGCTACTCAGCATAAAAAACGTCATGTGCTTAATTGGAACTGAGATATTCCTGTATGATACGAGTTACTTGTTTTTCTTGTTAATTTTTTTTCACTAACATCTAGGCAGCTTCAGATACTGATACTTTAACTGGAGATAACACTTAATCACATGCATATTTGTATCACTTAAGATGCTACTTTTAGAGCAATTAAGAATGATAAGCAGAGTGGAGTGACTCTGCATGGGGAAAGAAACTGCAGGAATCACGGTTTGCACTTCTATAATAGTGTATGTTCTTTCAACTAAAAAATTATAAATAATTTAACTTAGTCTTAACGCTTGCAAATCAATTCCAGAGAGCATTTTAAGTACGTGTTTCTTGGGGGAGGGGAAGAACAGCTTTTTGTCCATAAACAGATCTGAAGTAAAATGTTAAGGTTGCTATCGAACCTGCTGCCTCTAGGTTTGTGTAGTGTCACCACTCCAGGCGACAATGTTCACGTGCGTGCTAAAGATGGCCAGAGCCTTGGCTCTGGGTCGTGGCGTTCCCTGACAAAGGCTACTTGGGCTAAGGCCCTTGGAGCACACGGTTATTCGCAGCCGAGCTCCGTAGTAAGTTACTAGGCACAGGTAAGTGGGTTGCTGTATTCATCTGTATGTCCTGGAGGCTGGCTTGGCTGAATTTGTAGAGGTGTGAAGTTGGGGGTTTTAGGTAGTCCCTTGACTCTTCCGTGAAAGTGAAGGTGTCAAGGAATCCTGTCGAGAGCTGCATTTATGTCTGATTAAGTCCCAAAGGGACGTAACAGGTAATGCTTTTCACAGGTGTATCTGGAACACCTTTCACTTTAGGCTGTCCAAGAGCTATGTAGACATCATTACCTTGGTAGTCCTATGGTAAATATTTTTGCAAAAACCAAAACCTTTGGTACGGAGCTGAACCTTAGGACCTTCCCTTGCTCTGCCTGCTTGTTTCATCAGAACTTAAATCACCATCATCAATGAATGAAGTGACGTAAGTGAAGTCTTAATTGTTTTTCATGCCATATATTTAGTCTAGATCCTGCTACTACTGACTGGTGGGACAACATCAAAAAGAAAACTAGGCTATCTCACGAAGTTACTGGCTCTCTGACAAAGTTGTTGGTGCAGTTGCAGAAAGTTGCCTACATACCACCCAGGACAGGAACTCCACTTCTCTTTGGACCACTGAGAAGATCCTCATTTCAGGTGTGTGGTTGGTGTACCGGGTAATTGAGCACCCGAGCACTTTGCGGGGGTAGTGGTGTGACTGGCAAGGAGCTTGCCTCTTGAAGAAACAACTGTGGGTGAGATTTAGAGGCTGCTAGAGAAGCTGCTTTATTTTCGCAGCGGCTGCAGTCATGCTGGCAGGATAGCTAGAATTTGAGGTGGCTATCTCTGTGCCCTTTCTTACAGGGCTTAACTCTGTAGATGGAGACTAACGAGGGACACCGGGAGCCAACGCCAGAGGAAAATCCCTGATCCAAATCTGTGGATGGATTAGAAGAGCTCCAGGGGGGGAAAAGAACCAGGTAAGGAATCGCTTCTTCTCTGTCCAGCAAGGGAAACCAAAAGCACTGAGTAATAATGTGACTCCTTTAGGGCTGCACAAAATCAACAGAGGGAGCGAATCTGGTCCCAGGGCGTGGGACATCCTCTGTGGTTCCTGAAGCCGCTTTGCTGGGAAGCAGGGCTGAATGCTGATGACTGGAGTCCTTCACTGAAACAATTCTCTCACTGACAAGCACCCTGAGGGGATGCGCATGCAGTCAGTTGGAGGATAGGATGTTGTGAAAGGCCCCCTGCTCCCAGCAAAGCAGGGAGGCTGGGGCTACTAACATCTGCAGTATTTTGCAGAGAATGGAGAGCACAGCGTGAACCCCTGACTGAAATAATATTCAGAAAGCCCTTGTGCTGTCTTTGGCAAGGCCGTGCGTGTGGAGCTTGTGACCTTCCTGGGCTACTGTTTTGTTTCTGTTTTTTATTGTCCTTCTTGTTATCCAGAGGGCTGTTGGATCGTTAGCTTGCTGGGTGGCGTGGTCTTGCTGAGCTGGTTATTCCAATCGACTAAACTTAGTGCTTTGGGGTACCTTTTCATAAGAGAATTCTGCATGCAGACTGACTCGTGCTACTTTGTGATTTATTGCCATTTCAATTTCAAATTTCAATTTCCAACAATAAAAGGGAAGAGGACATTCTTGCGTGGAATATAAGTGTCTTTAGGACTGAAATAAGAAATTTTCCTAGAGAAAAGGGCAGCAGAACCCATCAGGCTGGCACCGAGTGGGGTTGGGGGGAAATGTTAAAATAGCAGCAGCTTGTTGACATCTAATCCTCGCTGCTGCTCAGCCCTGCTGCCTGCGAGCTTGAAGTGCTAGGAATGCAGGCAGAGCCTCCTGCTTTTTTGAGAACTGTGATGGGATCGATATGTTCCTGCAGAACGCTTCAATCCCGTCATTTCAGCATTTGGCAGGGAGGGGAGCGTCTGTTTTGCTGGAAGATCTTTGACTAGTCGTAGTAACGAGAGACAGTGCTTTTTTGTTTCTGTTGCTTGAGGGCAGTGGGTGAGTCAGTGGGTCTCCTGCCCTCGGATCAGGTGCAGGGGAGATAAAATGCAGATTTGATGGACTCCCTGGGGATGGAGGGGCTGGCTGGTTGGTTGGAGGAGTCAGCTGGAGAGTATTGTACCACAGAGCACCTGCTGCGGGACCCGTGCTGGAATAGCTCGTGGTGGGGTGGGTATAAGCCGTTAGATTTCCTCCCTTCTCTCCTCCCTAGACACTGAAAACAAGATGAAGGGTAACAAAATGTTGTCAGGCTAGTAGAAAAAAGTCTGGAGGAAGAACTGCATAATGCACAACTTAATGTTAATCACTATCTTCCCAACTTCAGCTCCCCCACCGCCCCTGTCTGGTCGCACTGCAAGCTGTGTGGGACAGGGACCTCGCGTTACAGACAGGCTTTGGGGGCGTTCCTTTTCGTGTAACGCTAATTCGTATTCGTGGTATCTTTGCAACTGGGATTCAAAGTCAGGCCTGATCTTGCAGCCGTGGAGTGGGGCAAGAAAAAAAAAGATTCTGTTAAAAAAAAAAAAATGTTGTCAAGGAAACTGCTCTCACGGTACCACTGCGCGCAGCCAATAAGGCACAAAGAAAAGTCTCCCCACAGCAGAGCTGCGTGCAGCACGGGGTAGGCTCCACAAACGTAATTGAGACAGCAGGAATTCAGTGCTAACTACAAAGCCTTGTTTTGATTACCGTGTGGAGTCCATCCCAACCTGCTGTAGTTATTCTTTGTACCTTCGTTAATGAGCCAGTCTTGCTTTCCTTTCTGTAAAGCTAGCCAGAAATTTTAAATAGGAGAAGGGGTCAGGAGGAAGGTGACAGAAATTACAGCAGACTCGCTTTTGGTAGCGGTATTTTTCCTGCAAGGATAATTACTTAAAGCAAGACAAATGCTCTGCATTTCAGTTAACTCCTCTCCAGCCTGTGTTAAATCCATTATGGGATGCCTTGCGTTTGACATTTGCGTCTTTGTCCTTAATGGTGACAGTAAATTTAAACACCCCAGGAGGGCTTGCGGGTAACTGCCAAGTGGATGCTACTCGCTTTTGGTAGCGGTATTTTTCCTGCAAGGATAATTACTTAAAGCAAGACAAATGCTCTGCATTTCAGTTAACTCCTCTCCAGCCTGTGTTAAATCCATTATGGGATGCCTTGCGTTTGACATTTGCGTCTTTGT